CTCCCCTTCCTTCTTCTCCTTCCCCTCTGTCCCTTCAATTTCCTCCACCAAGTTTTCTCTGTTCCTCTCAGCCAATCAGCTATGATGTCTTCAAGCTGTTCATGAGGGCCTACCTGGAGGTGGATCTTCCTCAGCCACTGAGCTCAAACCTCTTTCTGGCCTTCAGCCAGAAGCCCAGACAGGAGACTCCTGACCACCCAAAGGAAGGAAGCAGCAGCATTGCACCAAACAGCTCAGGTATGTGGACTAGCCTTCATCAAGATGGGAGGAACTTGAATAGCTCAGACCCTGTGCCATGGACAAGGACTGGATTCCTAGAGTCCTCTGAGCATAGGAACTTTCCTATGGGTTCAGAATGGGGACCAAGGAACGGAGACTCTTTCCTTTATATGACTTCATAGAAACCCATGGTCCAATAAACAAGGAGATAATCCCTGCCACTCAGGTTCAGAGAATAGAATGTGGACAATATGGGACACAAACTTACATGTATCAAGAAAAGAAAGCCTTTAGCAAGGACTTCAGTCAGCTGGCAGAGCATATTCAGCACATGTCCAGGCTGCGACTAGCTGGGCACTGACATGAAGTGCAAGTTCCATCCTCCTGGAGCTTGGGTATGAGACGGGAGTCAGTCAACTCTATCTCCAGTTGACCACTAACAAAGCTTGGATTGGAGCTATGGTTCAAATGGTAGAGTTCCAATCTTGAGCAAAAGAGGTAAAGGACAGCAACTCAGGCCCTCAATCCAAGCCTGAAAACAGCACAAGAAGGAAGGAAGGAAAAGAAAGGAAGGAAGGAAGGAAAGAAAGAAAAGAAGGAAAGAAAGAAAGAAGAACATGAGCTCAGATGACAAGAAACCCTGACCCACAAACACAACTTATGTGAACCATATCATATGGGACGGGAACCCACCTGCCCCTTTAAGAGACCAGGAGCATACACTAGCCTTTAAATTATCTTTTTATTTCCAAGATTCTAGTGTACAAAATGTGGATAATGCTGCCAAAGCAGATGAGGCCTGTGCCCCTGATACAGGTAAGTCTTTGGAATATGTGATTTAGGGGAAGACTGGGGAATACCTCATCCATGAGGAGAAGGTGGAAATCTGGTGTTAAGTGAAGTTCTTTCTCTACTTGCCCTGGAACAAACTATGTCAAGATTTGGGACAGATTGCCATTTGCCTCTGTCCAAAGAAGGAGTGTGTGTGTGTGTGTGTGTGTGTGTGTGTGTGTGTGTGTGTGTGTGTAGTAATAGTAGTAGTAGAGTAGTAATGATGACTTCTCGTGGATGGCCGAAGAAGATACAAGTATATAAGGGCATTCTCAACAGATTGAGGAGTTACTAATAAGTTAGCAAGGAGAAGCCAACTAAAATTGTTTTTGAAGATCTGTTTGCCTGGCACCTGTTTCTTACATATTCCTTTAACCTCTACAGTCACACCACATGAGGAGCTGGGGTTTGGGGAGGTTATGTACTACTGGTGTACCTTGCAGAGCAAGGATTTAATTCATACTTGTCCAACCGCAAAATTTCTGCTCTGTTTCCTATGCAGAAAGAAGCAGCGGTATTTCTTGAGATGCGTGGTGGTTTGTGTCCGTGGCAAGGTGCCATTTTGGTTAGTTCCTGGTGGGTTCACCAAAGTTGCCCACTCGGAGGCTTCTGTAGTGTCTGCTGTCCTTAGGCCTAGTCCTGGGCTATGGCAGATGGGGAATCTCCCTGGCTCATTTATAAATGTGAAATGATTTCTCTGTGTTGATGACAGGCCCATGGCCCAAGGCCAGCCGCTCTTAAGAAGTCTGAGGAAAGCTCTGTGCCATTGGTTTATTCCTATAATCCTGAGATCTGAGGACTGTGGTTCAAAGCCAGTCCAGGCAGGAAAGTCCATGAGACGTTTATTTCCGGTTAACCATCAAAAAGCCAGAAGTGAAACTGTGGCTCAAATGATAGCACACTAGCCTTGAGCATATAAGCTCAGGGGCAGTATCCAGACCATTAGTTCAAGCCCCAGGACCAGCACCAAAAAAAAAAAAAGACTGAGAAAAAGCAAAGATTGCCATCCTTGACTTTTGCTCATGACTAATACACATTTTCTGGTCATTAGCCACCTAAATCAGATCAAGCAATAGAACATACAGACTGCCACTGCCTGGGTTTGATTTCTAACTCTTGGCAATACCTGTGGGCATGCTTGAATAATGTCTCAGGGCCTTGGTGTCCCATCTGAAAAATGGAACAACAGTAAGTGTTGTTATGAAGGTTCAGGTGAATTAGATGTGTAAATGCTTAGGACAGGTATTATTTGCCAAACTCTCCTTCAGTATGCATCCTCAGCCTCCGGAGGTGTCAGCTGGCATCCTGCTCTCATGGAAGGTCACTAGTGGACTCTCCAAGTTTCTTTGGAAGCTTTAAATACAAAGAAAGACTCAGAAAGTCAGACCTCGTTTACTGGACGTGATCATTTTGCTAAAAAGATTTATAAATACATGAAGTCAGAATCTGTCTACTGGGATGTACCCAGGAGATAAAGAATAGCAGTTTTATGTTTTTTTCATATATTATGTATGTATGTATATATTTATGTGTACATACATACCTATATAATTGAATATATGTGTGTATACATATATAACTATATGTATGTATACATGTATGATAGGTAAGATACTATCACTCCATGTTCTGCTTTCCAACCATAGTGAATTGTTTTAAATCTCATGAGTGCTTCACTTAAACACTGAAAACTCTGTAATCCTTCTAGTTTCCTTTCTAGCTCTGAGTGGAGAACAGATTAGAAACACATCAAGAGTCCACTTGAAGAAACTCTCATCTCAGGTCCCTGTGGTGTTTTGTGGGTTAGGGTTCTTGTCATTTGAGCTCATACTGTTTTCTTTTTGGTGCTGGTATTGGAGTTTGAACTCAGACCTAAGTGCTGTGCCTTAGCTTTTTTTTCCCAGTTTGAGCCTGGTTAACCATCATTTCAGTTCTTGTTTCCTGAGGTCCCAGAGAATTTGCTAGAAGTTTGTCATTTCTGTCCCCATCGGAGGGGCGAGAACAGTCATGGTTGCCTAGCAGCTGATCTGCCTGACCTTTTGGCTATTCTCTTCCTCAGAAACAGCTTCCTCTGTCCCTTCTTATGAACATGTTATTGATCATAAGTCGTCCTTCTTGAAATCCAACGTGATTGAAAGGTGGCTGCCAGAGAGAATGGCTCAAATCAAAGGACACAGATCCAAAATGGAGATTGGTGTGCCTAGCTTTTATTCTGCCTTTAGTTAATTGGTGAGACCAAATGAGGAGTCAGTCAGCACAAACCAGCTTAAGTACCTTTTATTGCTTGGTACCTTGGTTCTCTGACTAAGGATGTTATGGGTGGCATGCCTCCCTTCCCCTTTGGTCCTTACCATCAGAGTTATCTTTGCCTCTAAGGCTTCAGTACTTTGTTACTTAGTAGCATTGCCGTAGCTTCACTGCATTTGCCACTAATAGTCTTCTGTTTGCCTTGTCAGTTGTTTTCTGTGCATTTTACTCCCTTACTAGATACAAAAAATCATTTCTAATTGGTATGAAGGTTGAAAGGGTAACTGAAGAGAGAGTATGAAAAGTACCTCAAAAATTGATTTTACACACAATAATAAAAAAATTGATTTTACAGCTAGGTATTGGTGGCTCAGGCCTGTAATCCTAGCTACTGAGGAGGCTGAGATCTGAGGATCCTGGTTCAAAGCCAGCCCGGGCAGAACAGACCATGAGACTCATCTCCAGTAAACTACTCAGAAAAGCTAGAAGTGGTGCTATGGCTCAAATAGTAGAGTACTAGCTTTGAGCACAAAGAAGCTCGGAGACAATGCCCAGGACCTGAATTCAAGCCCCAAGACTAGCAAAAAAAAAAAAGATTTTACATCGTGAAATATACTTGCCTAGGTTTCTTGTTAGTAATATGTCTTATTTTTCTGACTCGAGGACAAAGTGTGAGAGAAACAAAGAATTTATCCTTGTGGTACAACAATATTTTATTGCTCTGCTAAGTCCTTTTTACATTTTCTTAGGCCAACTAACTAGCACATTTGCAATTAGTCAAAGTCTTTCTTAGTTTTCTGGAAATTGGTTGTCAGTCTCAGTTTCTGTTTTTCAGTATTTTATCCTTTTATTTGTCTTTAAATGTATTTGAGAAGAGCATTATGAGAGGCTATACTGGTGAAGTTCTAATCAAAATTACTTCATTAAGTTAGATATGTCCAAAAAGATCATCCAAAGTACATTCAGCTGTTGACTATTGGTATTACCAAGAATCAGTATTACCTTTTCTGAAAATGCAAAGAGAATAGATGAATTTCCTACAAGGAAAGAAACTCTTAAAAGTGACACAATGAAGTCAACTCAGAGAATATAACCTCCACAGTATGGACATTTCCTAATGTCTGTATCTTTGGATGCCTTCCTTTTGCCCATCACAGATGCAAACACAGTCCAGAAGCCAGTGACAGCCAAAGATCAAGTGACTACAGCCCCCTTGGGAGTTCCTGCTGCTCAGTCATCAGGCTCAGAGTCTCCAGTTGTGTATTTGAAGGATGTCGTGTGTTACCTGTCCCTGCTGGAGACTGGAAGACCTCAGGATAAACTAGAGTGTAAGTGCTTGCCCTATCTCAGACTTCAGCTGTTTCCTAAAGAATGAGAGTCCTGGCAATCATTTCTTACCCTACTAGAGATAGAGCTGGGATCACAGATATGGATTCTGCCCCTTTGAGGCAGACTTTTCTGCTCTGTCACCAACACTGACAGGGAAATTTCTTTGACTCCACCCTAGGACACAGTACCAGTTGTATATATGTTCAGGTTCAACGTTCTTGACATTGAACCAGAATTTGGAAAAGGGAGAGCTTCTCATCAAAAGTCAAGACTCCTCTGCTTGGCTGGTGGCACTTCCTGAAAGCTTCCAACACAAGGCCACTGAGATTCCTAGTTAGGATGACTTTTCTAGCTGGGGGCTGGGGGCACAGACCACCAGGCATGATCTGAGGACTGCAGTTTGAAGACAGCCCAAACAGGAAAGTCTGTAAGACTCTTATCTCCAATTAACTTCCAGAAAACTAGACATTGAGCTGTGGCTCAAAGTAGTAGAGCACTAGCCTTGAGCAAAAGGAGCCCAGGGATAGTGCCCAGGCCCTGAGATCAAGCCCCACAATGGACAAAAAAATTAGATAACTTTTATTTTCTTTTTCTTTCTTTCTTTCTTTTTTTTTTTTTTTTTTGCTTATGTGGTGCTGAGGAATCAAACCCAGGGCCTCAGGCATGCAAGGCAGGCGCTCTACCACTGAGCCACCTTCCCAGCCCCTAGATAACTTTCAAAGGAAAGATATTGAATAGCTGTGAACAAGCAACCCTATATTGTTATTTGCATGTGAGTGTGTGTGCACATGCATGCATGTGGTACTGGAGTTTGAACCAGGGCCTCACACTTGCTAAGCAGGTACTTTATCACCTAAGCCATGCCCCACCAACCCCGCCCTTTTTGGTATTAGTTATTTTTCCAGTAGATTTTCCAGTTTTGGGCTGGACCACCTTGGACTTCTACCCTCCTAGGTAGCTAGGATCTCAAGCCTGTGATGCTATACCTGGCAACAAGCAACTCTTTCGCTATGGTGATTTGTTTTTCCCTTGAATTCTCATCCATTTCTGTCCTGATAAGACTTATTTTCATACCTCCATTCACTTACTCATCTTCCACACACAAGCTCTTGGACCTCTAAAGGAAGAATGCTAGTTAATTTTGAGAGTTGAACTGTGTTTCATGGTGCTACAAAGTTGGTTACAAAAGCAACTTTAGGAGGAGAGTAAGAGCTTGGATTAAAAAGACCCTATAATCTTGCAAAAGACTCACCTAAGGGATGGTTTTGCTGATCTCTGAGTGCCTACAGGTATGCTTTTCATAATAAGAAATGAGAGGACCTTGTTACAAAACATAGAACCTACTCACTGCTTTTTGGGGATTTGAGTAGACAATTAGTGAAAACATACCAAAACAGCAAAAGTCAAAATTCCATTTACTAATAAGACAGTCCACAAAACTTACACATAAGCAAGGACAGTCTGCCAAAGGTCAACTGCCAAAACCAAAATGGAAGCATTTGCTCATTAACTGAGCTGAAAAATCTCCCTGAGGCCTGAGGTATTAAACGACTCCAAGTCTGAAGCTCTAATTTGGTAGCAGATGTAACAAATTTCAGTTTTCTTCTGACTAGTGTTAAAAGTGCCATGTCAAATTATTTCTAACATTCAGCTATATTTTGAGTTTTAGGCATTGTAGTTGTTAATGACTGACAAGGAGAATGGTAGATTTTCCTTCATGTTAGTTGCTCTCAGCCTATCTTAAAATGACAATGAAAAATACAGAAGTTTTTAATCATAGAAACTTTCAAAGATAGACCAAAAGAGTAGGAAGTGCATCTCTGCACTAGCACACATTGTTCAGCTTCAACAGTGATAAGCTCAGGGTCCAGCTTGTTTTTGTATATACCTCGCACTCATCTCCTCTGCCTTAGATTGTTTTGAAACAAACATGTAAGCATTTCATGCATACATATTTCAACATGTACCTCTACGTTACACACTTAAATATAACAAACTGTTAATCACATCCAAAGAAAATGATTCCTTCATACTATCTGATATTCACCTAGCATTCACATTTTCCCAATTGTCTTATGGGTTTTGTTGTGTTGTTGTGTGCTAAGTACTGGGGTTTGAAGTCGGGGCCTGGGCACTGTTGTTTAGCTTTTTTGCTCAAGGCTAGCTCTCTAGCACTTGAGCCACAGCTCCACTTCCAGCCTTTTGGTGGTTAGCTGTAAATAAGAGTATCACATATTTTTCTCCCTGGGCTGGTTTTAACAAAAATCCAAAGATCAACCAGGCTATCTTATAGGTTTTTAATTGGCTATTTGAATCAGAATCCAAGGAAGATCCATGGATTGCTATTGGTTATTGTATCTCCTCAGATTAATCTTTTGGCTTCTTCTCCATCTTTGGTTAATTTATTCCCTTGCAATTTTTCATTACAGAAATTTGATTGTTTATTCTGCCAAGTTCTCATTTTGGTTTGTTTTTATTGAATTCCATCAATTCAAATCCTTCCTTGATTTTAATGATTAAAAGCAAGTTAAGCACCAAGTGCCAGTGGCTCATGCCTGTAATCCTACCTACTGAGGAGGCTGAGATCTGAGGATCACAGTTGGAAGCCAACTTGGACAGGAGAGTCCATGAGACTCTGATCTTCAATTAACTACCAAAAAAGCCAGAGGTGGAACTGTGGCTCAGGTAGAGCATTAGCCTAGAACTAAAAAAAGCTCAAGGACAGCACCCAGGCCCTGAGTTCAAGCCCCATGACTGTCA